GGACCCAGTTCTCCAAGGAGGTTTTCTTTGTTCTGGAAGTCCATGGGAGAGATGTCTATGCATGCAGAGGGCTTTATCCCTTTCTGTCTTGTTTTTTTTTTTTTTTTTCTGAATTTGGAAACTGCCTTTCCTCCCTCTTCTGTTTGAGAGCTGCAAAGGTTTTCTCCTCAGCTCATTGTTTGTGCTTCCTGCAAGCTAAATAACCCGTCGGCGTATGTGTGTATGAACTGGTTCCTGTCCAAGCGGTGGGAGTCATTACGAGCATTTAAGTTTCTGTTTAGTGACACGAAGACAGCATCAAAGTTGGCAGAGCCCGAAATTTGCCGCCCAGTACACTCCTTCCCTCTCTCTTGTCATCCAGGTCTGTCCCACTCTTGAGGTTTGCAGTGAGTTTGTAAGGGGCCCCTGCTATTCCCTCTCAGTATTTCACTGAGAAAAAGATGCTGGGAAGGGCCTGATGTGAATTGATTTTGCAGCTGTGGTGGCAAAGGGTTGTGGTCCTCCCTTCCCAGGCACCCATCCTTCCACTTGGAGGGGCTGGTGGACATAAGATCCTTTTGTTCCTGCTGCCGCCTTCCATGTGGGAGCCCAGTGCCTCGGGATGCTGGAAGATTTACAGCCCCAGCATCTCTGCCCTCTTCCTGACACGGGCAACCTACACAACGTCGTCCATACTCAGCATGGCACAGGGCTGGCTCCAGCTGGGGTACCGCATCCCGGGACAACAAGTATTTACTCGGGAGCCTTAAGTGGTAGGGGGCAAGGGGAGGTGTGGGAGTGTGCGGTTCCTACTGTCAGGGCAGCCTTTGGGAGCATACACCCCTGGGAGGACACTGCTGTCACTCCGACTGGGACGTTCTTGGAACCAGCGCGTGCTCGCAGCGATGGGTACGTGCCTACGAGAGCTCTCATCCCTCTGTTGTGCCGGAGATGTTTCCTTAGGTTTTCCATGCTGTGTTCTGGCTATTGCACTCTTGCGCTGGCTTTATTGCCATTAGGCATTCAGTGGAAACGTTACGCGTGGCCTTCGGCAGCTTCGCAATGTCCCCGAGCTCCATGAAGTTCCATCGGAGGCGTTCATTGCTACGCCGGTGGCCATCCTGCGGCACAGCGAGGCGCTGGCCCTGCAGACGGTGGGATTGTGAAAGGGCGTCACTCGTGCGGTGTCAGGAATACAAGGCTTGGAAAGGCTGGGATTCCTGTTTACCATCTGTTTCCATGGCCCTTCCCTAATAGAACCTCTCCTCCTCCAGGATTCAAGGATCTGTAATCAAAACTGTTTGGCTTGCGGTGGGAGGGAGGAAATCCCAAATCGTGGAGGAGATGGTGACATTTTCTGACCTTTCCTATGTGTATCTCAGAGACAAACACACTCGAGTGAGTGTGCATGTGCTTATGTTTGTGGGTTTAGGCTTTGGGTGTATTTCCTAACGCAGGCGCCCGGTGAGATGCGAGGTTATGCATGGACCTGTTGGAGCGGGGCCAGAGGAGGGCTACTAAAATGCTCCGAGGGCTGGAGCCCCTCTGCTCTGAGGCCAGGCTGGGAGAGTTGGGGGTGTTCAGCCTGGAGAAGAGAAGGCTGCGGGCAGAGCTGAGTGCGGCCGGTCAGGGCTTCAAGGGGGCCCAGAGGAAAGGGGGGGACAAGCTTTTTAGCAGGGCCAGCTGGGGCAGGACAAGGGGGGATGGTTTTAAACTGAAGCAGGGGAGGTTTAGACTGGATCTAAGGAAGAAATTCTTTCCAGTGAGGGTGGTGAAACCCTGGCAGGGGTTGCCCTAGGTTTAGACTGGATCTAAAGAAGAAATTCTTTACAATTAAGGTGGTAAAACACTGGAACAGGTTGCCCAGAGAGGGGGTGGAGGCCCCATCCCTGGGAACATTCGAGGTCAGGTTGGACGGGGCTGTGAGCAACCTGATGTGGCTAAAGGTGTCCCTGCTCCCTGCAGGGGGGTTGGGCTGGGTGACCTCTGGGGGTCCCTTCCAACCCAAACGTTCTATGATTCTATGATTCTCTGCCGCAATTGAGATAAACCTGAAAACTCTTTGTGGGGGGATGGGGACAGCGTGTCAGTGAGTCTGATCCACGGGCAGCTGCGTACAAGAAACGCGCTTACTAAGTATTTCCAGATACGCTCCCCTTGAGAACCCACGTTTCCCTTTGCTTGGAAAACTCCAGGGCTGCAGTTTTGAGTTGGCTGGTTGAGCGTGGGGCCACAGACCTGTCCGCCCATGCAGGAGCTCGTACAGCGGCGGCGTTTGCTCCAAAGGGAGGTTTGAGTGTGCAACCTTGCAGTCAGGGCTGCCCGGAACCGCTCAGCGAGCTGGCTTTGTTATCAGACAGCGTTACCCGTGGCTCATCTCCTCCTCTTTGCTCGTGAAACATATTACAGCAGGCCGTGGTGGTGTGACCCTGGCTGGATGCCAGGGGCCCACCAAAGCCGCTCTATCACTCCCCTCTAACCGGACAGAGGAGAGAAAAAGTAAATCAAAAGGCTCGTGGGTTGAGATAAGGACAGGGAGAGATCATTTTATCAGTTACCATCATGGGCAAAACAGACTCAACTTGAAAAAAAATTAATTTATTATCAATCGAAATCAGAGAAGGAAAGGAGAAAAACTGCTAGATCTTAAAAACCTTCCCCCCG